AATTAATTTTGACAAAGTAGAATACACGAAATAAGTAACCGTCGAAATATAAGGTACTTGATACAAGGCTATCTAATAGAAGAAATAATTTACTGATTTAATTTGATAAAGCAGCGAAGCCACGAATTTAAATAACGTAAAAATGAAATATTGAAAATACTCATTATATTAGGGAGAGGAGGACGTGGAGATAAGAGGGATAGAAATTTATTTAAAAGGGAAGAGAAAGGAAAATATATGGATCTATAGGTTGGATCTGTTCATTCAGGCATTAAATAGATGGATTACAGGAAGTTTCGTTGCTTTTGAGCATTTCCAGTAAAATTAGTTTAGTGCCTTTCTGGCAATTATATAAGTTTAACATTTGCAAGGTAGGAAAAGGGGTGTTTATTAAGGATAACGCAGTAAGCGAAACTGGAGGGTTATAAAGCCATTTTCAAGCCTATGATAAATATTAACAATTAACAAATATATTAATATTTAGTAGAAGACAAATAAAAACCTATGATTTTAGGCGATTTCTAATAATTACAACGCATTATCTAAAGATGTGATTGGAATAGAAACATCAAATTTACAGCTCCAGATTGGTTATTGTGAACGGTTATGTCATTTTTAAGGCCTGTTGAAAAATTCACTTGAAGGCGTCAAATTTAAAAAACTTTACAGTTCATCAAATTTCTAGAGGTGTTCGACGCCCAGACAGAACGCGCTACGTGTGACTAAGATAGCTATTGTACAGTCTGCTAAACAAGTTATTTTAAATAGTTTTTAATATTTTTAGGTAATTAAATTTTAAAAGTGTGGAATAGTTTAGGGATTAAATTGGTCTGATTGGACTTTCTTAGAACGTTTTTAAAAGCAGCTAAAGATAGTATGTAGAATTGAAAATAATTATTATGCCATAAAAGGTGTTTTGGAATTCCTTCAACCTTTTGAAATTGAGTCAGAAAATATAAATTTTATAGGATAGCGGAAAATACCTATAATTTTTTTGTAGGCCTTTGTAAATCGTGGAAATAGTTTATATTTTATTTCTACCTTATTAAGGAAAATGGTACCTATTATTAATAACGGTTGTTTCTGAAACATTACTAAAATTTTCGAAATTTTGCTTTTCTACAAAATAATAAACTATACTATTTAGAAAAAAATTTATTTCTCTTATAATTTTATAAAAAATAACAGGGGAATATTTACATTTCTTGATCTATTAAACAAAACGATAAATTATCTCGACGAATGACACCATGTTCTAGTACGGAAGCTAGCTTTACATTTTTGTTGGTGGTTTCATGGGTTTCATATCAATTTTTTGTAATTGTAGTTTACACGTACATATACCTCTTAACACTTGTTTGCTTTATTAAAAAAGTGTGTTGTTGTGATTTACGTCGAAATAAGTCAAAAACAACTTGAAACCCCATATAAAATCAAAAAGGAGAAACGGAAAAAAATTGAGCCTGTAAATGAACACAACTCAGAAACAAAAATAGCTATCTAATAATAAAAAAATAAAATTTGATTCTTGTGCATCTTCGTTGTAAAAATAGATAATACTTTTTTGATCTTAGGTACAGATATAATTTTAATGGTCTTCCGAAAAACTTTCTTCAGTTTCCATATCAGATTCAAAATCAGTCTCACTGTCACTGTTTAAGTTAATTATAAATCTATCAGTTGCCTCATCCAAAGTAACTTCTCTGTCATAAAATTTAGATTCCCACATTTTAGCATTATTACAACGAGATTGCCACTCCTCTTTAGAAAACGTATCAAAAAAGTCTTCACACAACAGTTGTACGTCTTGCCTCTTAAATGTAGTGTTGTTACTAGCTACATATTGTTTCAATGATGCCCACACTAATTCGATCGGATTAAGATCGGGATGATACGGTGGCAAACGCAAACAACTAAAACCATGTTCATTTATCATTTCTTCAATTGCATACCTCTTAAATCGTGACTTATGCAATAGCACTAAACTGTATAATTGCGTTTTGAGCATATCCTCTTCGTAAGCAATATTATGATTCCTTAACCAATCCTGCATGTCAGCTTTTTTAGAAGTTGACGTTGGTGCTTTATTTACCTGGACATTATGGTAAGGAGCATTATCAACAATAATAACGCTTCTTGGAGGGAGGTTCGGAAACAGCTTTTCTTTCAACCATTTAGAAAAATTATTAAAATTCATTTCATCGTGGTAGTCTCCACTTTTGGTTCCAGATTTGAAAATTAACCGGGCATTCGGAATAAAGCCCATTTCACCTCCTGCATGGACAATAATTAGTCTATCACCTTTATTAATTGGTTTCTTTAATCCCTCATTTGAATTATCACTCCAAGCTTTCTGGTGTGTGTGGGAGGCATGAATGTATGTTTCATCTAAGTAGACAATTGGACGGCCCTCTGCTCGATAACTTTTTAAACGAATCAGATAGTCTAAACGTAGCTTTTGAATATCAAACCTTTCCATTAATATTTTTCTGTTTGTTTTTGTTTTCCGCCAACGAAATCCTAGCGACTTTATTATTTTTCTTAAACTTTCATAACTTCCTTTGTACCCTGTAGCTTCTCTAAATTTAGTCAGAATTGTTTTTAATGTTGGAACAATATTTTCCGAGATTAACATGAACAGAATAATTCTTTTTAAAATACCTTTGTCAGCTTCATCTATATCATTAACTGTTTTTGGTTTTTTAATGGTTTTTCTTGGTGATGAAAATTCCGATATCTCACGGTTATCGATTCTTTTTTTCTCTCTCCAGAAATGCGGACGACAGTGTTTTTAGATACTCCTGTGGCTGCAGCAACACGATCATTTACATTTTTAAATGGTATTAAAGGTGAATTAAAGTTTCCTTCTCTTCTCATAAACTCTATAACATTGGCTATTATTTCGCGAGATTGACTGTTAATCACGCGGCCTCTTAATTTGCTATTAAACTCCATACTTAGGTTCTATTAAACTGTAATGAGCAAAAAACACAAACGAAAATAAAAGAAATGTTTTAGCGAAATTTACATCTGACATTTACGTCTGAATAAAATAGTGAAATACTTGATGCGCAGAGTGTACTTTCATTGCGTAAATCCGTCGGCCCCGCCAACCGATGCCTCTCAGTAGTGCTTTCTCTGTCTAGCCGTCGAAAGCCTCTAGAAATTTGATGAACTGTAACTCCCTTATGATCTTCAGAATTAGATATTTTACGTTGAATCAACGTAAAGTTTTCGTTTGGAAGATGTGTTACTATAGATATAGCAAATAAGACATTAAATATAGTTGTTTATTACAAAGACATAAGGTTATAATTAAACAAAATTTAAAAGACGAATACGTTATTCCATGCAGTTAAATTGTTTTCCCTTACAATTCATTTTTTTATATATTATGGTTAAGATTAAAAATCATTAGTGAAGCCTAAAAAACTTTCCGTAATATATTAAATTCATAATAAAATACTGTGTATAATAATCAGAATGAAAATCGTCATTGAAAATGTTGATTTATTTCAATAGGTACATGAATATAACGGAAAATTAATCTACGTAACGGCGGCTGGTATTAAAATATTCATATTATTATTGACGGAATATAGAGCTATAGAGCATTATATAATAACAGCACAAAATTAAACCTACGTTTTAAATAACTATAATGCGCTATTGAAATAGAAATCAGTATAATCTCTTCTATTTTATTTTTGAAATATACAAGGGTGTCCCGAAATTAGACGGTCATATTTTAACAACGTAATCTACATCTTAAAAGAATAGTAAAACTTCATATAAATATAGGTCCGAAAACGTTTCATTTCCGAGATACAGGATGTTACAAGTAAAGTCCTGATGGTGTTAATTTTTTTTCTCTGAAGCTATTGGTTTTGGGAAAAAAATTCAAGAATAAAAAAAAATTAAATAAAACAAGGATATCATAAAAGTTCATCTCGAAAAAAAGTTTTGATATGAAATAAAGTAAGTGTTGCTAATTTCACCCCCCCTATAATGTAACAGAAATATTGAAAAAATACCCGTGGTTAGTCCTTTGCGTTTACAGAATTTCAAGTTTCTAGCTTTACTGAAATTTTAGAGAAAAAAAAATAAAAACTCAATTTTAGTCACCACCTTTTAAGGGTGATATCTCGAAAAGGGGTGGGCTGAGGAAATTTTGTTATAGGAAAGACCCATCTTAATTTCATACGAATAATCAGTTCCTGAATTTTGTCGCATGTATTTAGAAACACCCTGTATAATACACATTTTTTTAAGCGGGCAAAATTCTTGACAATCTCTTTTCCCTAATTGGCACATGTCGCATTTCTCTAGGATTTACTAACTCTGGCAGCAAACAAATAAAATAGAAATTTGTCAGCTGTGCATTTTTGCCTTCCAGAATTTTTCATTTCATAAATTAACTAAAAACTAAAAACAAAAACCTAAGAACGCCTCAACAACAAACTAAGACGATCACAATAATTTCGCACCTCTTCAAAAACAACTACCTATTTTTCGACACAGGAATTAACAAATTTAACTAAACAACAGCTACCCTTTTAACCACGGGCTTCATAGACTAGCAGCGTTGCCATATTCACTGGTATCATTGTTTTAATAGAATTAGTATCGGAATGAAAACTATTTTAATCTTCGGTCCTGTTTAAAATTGGTAATCTTTTTTAAAAAAAGGTATTTAGAAAATAGTTAAGATATTTATTACAGAACGAGACGCTAAAGAGCCAAAAAAATACTGTTTCAGCACGCCACAATTATTTTTGGATCGTCATAAATTTTTAATTTTTTAAACTTTTTGTCATGGTAAAATTCCTTAAATCCTAATTATTATTCTTATTATTGTTAAAGGTTAAGTTGAAAAACGGTCCAGGCTGAATTTGTAAACTGGTAATGAGAACCAAATAACTCACTAGGATTGGAAAAAATCTTCGAACCATCGAACCATCTCTTAATTAACAAAATTTTACAACATTCAAAAAACTTACCTGTCTTCATCCCTATCGTTGTTCGTAGCGGCACAATATTCATCGTTAGAGGAACAGCCGCAATTAGACTCGCGTATATCGTAAGCCGAATGGTTTACAGGACTTTTCAGCACGCTCAGAACTAAGTCCTCTGAGTAGTTCGCAGGACTCGAGCCGCGTTGCAAATCCTCCGCCAAGATTGGCGAAAAATCGTCTTCTTGTTTGTACGAGTGTCTGAAACATTGAAAAGTTTTTGTCACTAGTTATAATTTAACAAAGTTTCAACAAAATGGAGAGATGAATTCTGTGCAACAAAAATAAATGTACTTAAATGGGCAACATTTTTTAGAAAAAAAAAATATTTAGAGTATACCTCATAAAAATCAAATTAGTCTGAATTTGAGGGAACACAACTATTCCCTTCATCTAACAATTAAGATAAAATACTTCTTAACAAAATTGACTTGTTAATAATATGTGCTAGGAACTTTTCTTTTTAATTGGCCACGAAATAAATTTTATTTGACACTGTAGGATTAGGTTGATTAGAATGTAGTCAATATATACCTGCTAGAAATTAATTTACCTAGAAAACAAAAACAATTTTTTCTATCAAAACACCTTTTATTTTATTTTAAAATTATGAATAATTTTGCAGGATTTTATGTTCTCTGGCAATTTATTAAAAACTCCAGATCCTGTATAATCAGGAGAGTAGGTTACTTTTTTTTGATGTAACTGATAAATAAATTTCATTTATGAATCTTGTTTATATCCATGGATATCTTCGTTAAATAAAAAAGTACAGTTATTGTTAAAAATGTACATCAGAGTGTTCAAGAATATACAGGGTGGCGCATCCTATACGCATCGGCCTCTGTAAGGAAAACTGCTTAATATTTGTGTGTGAGACGTTCCTATTAGAAGGAAGGGCTTTTGGCTGCTTACTCTTTACTTTTTGAACGGATATATAGGGCCATTAACACTACAAATTAACAAAAATAATTTTCCTACGACCACTTAGGAAAGTGACACATATCACACTATATAGTCCTATGGAAAGTGCCCTATATCACACGCGTATGAATAAGAATTTACTTTCCACCCGAGTGAGAATATGTTACTTTCCGCAGTAGTTGTCACAAAATGTCAAACACCTAATTTCTATTTTGATCTATGTAATGTCCATATTAATACTAAAATCGATGATTGTTAAATTATTGAAATTGTTGTAAATTAGATCCTAGATATTTATCATTAACAATTATTAAAATAATTTTAAAATAATGTTTGCTCTTTATTCTGGTTAAATATATAACCGATTAGATCATTCAATTGACACAAGGGCTATTAGCTCAGGTGGTTAGGACGTCTAACTTATCAACTTTGCCATTTTTCGACCGCGTTCAAATCCTGGCGGGGCAGAATTTTTTTTGTTTTTTTTTTATTTTTTTTTTTAGTTTTTTTTTTTGTTTAGAAAATATGAAAATTGAATAAATACGATTATTGTTGATTATTTTTTTAAATACTTTTTAATTATTATAGTAATAATAACCTTGGTTTTACATTTTTTTGATGACATTATTTTGTGGTCGTAGGAAAAATATTGTACATCACTTGTGTGAAAAGTGATTTTCCACACTCGTGTGATTAATATTTCTCACTCGTGTGAAAAATGTCACTTTCCACACTCGTAATGTAATATACTTTTGCGTTTTACAGAGTGATCCAAAAGTAAGAATTTCTATCCAAGGTAAGTTTTTCAAATGGACCATCCTGTATTTGGTAGTACCTTTGGTTTCCACAAAAAAAAAGGAAGTTTCTTAATTTGTAAGATTGGACAACATAACCTACTATGTCGTAGTTATTTAAAAGTAATGTGGTTTTAAATAACCCTGTGGTTTTCATATGGTAGAAGTCTGTAAGGTTCCTCATGACTCACCCTGTATATTCTGATCATTATTTATTAATTATTTCCAGTTTCCAATGATACAAATTGTTTTCTATTACCAAGAAATGCCTTAACCCAAAATAGAGATAATCCACGTATAAAAAATATAGAACACATTAATCTGCATTGAAAATATGTATATTTTTATTATTAAATAAAAAAAATGCTATGGATGTTGATTTTTGTGAACTAAATCCGTGTACTACCAACAATAATACACTCTTCTAAGAAACTGGTAAACTTATTTAGAAAAACGTACTCAAATATTTTCAAAATACTGTAAATTAAAAGATTGTAGAAGATCGATAAATGCTAATAACTTTACAATCTTTATTTTTCCAAAGAGGAATAACTTTTCCCAATTTAATATTTTGATTTAATAATTAAATAAGTTAGTGGAGGAAAATTGATTTTTAGAACACGTTTTAAGAGAAAACAACCAACGCTGTCGGCCCTAGCAGATCTTTTATTATTAACTTATTTAATTTTCAAAAGTTTTCCAACTTCCTATGTAAAAAAATTCAAATTTTTTATCCGTTACAGCGAATTGATACCTACCAGTCTAAAAATACTTTTTAAGGAAATTTATGATCATAATAAAAATCAATTTAACTTCCTTAATTTAAACGAATTAGGGGAAAATTGGAAATTAATTATAATGGAAAGTCGTTACCAGCATGAAATTTAAATTATGTGATAATTTGAAGTGTTATGTCTTGCTGAAGATTGCTGGCAGGTAGGGTTCAGTGTGAAAAATATAGGTAATGTATATTTTTGAGAGATTTTTGTATATGCTTAAATTTTATTCTAATTGGTACTAAATTGTAATAAATATTAGATAATTACACTGGTTCGTATGAACATTTTTGAACGCCTGGGCTAAAAAGCATCTAAATAAATATTTATTTAAATGAAAAACTAAATAATAGAATATTTGTAGCAAGGAAACTGGTGGTAAATTTTTAAGCCATTTGCTCGAGTGGGAGATGGTAAAAATATTGATGATATAAAAACTAGTTCTGTTAACTTCTGCCAAATTATTCCCGCATATCAATCAAATTCCAAAAAATGTAGTAAGAACGTTCTGTTTATAATCTTTACACGGGAATATACTTTCTAGAATGTCTATAGGATATATGTAGAATAAACCTTAAAACTATATTCTAAAAAGTATATAATGAGCACATGCTTTAAAAGTATATTTTAAAAAGTATATCCTGATCACGAGCTTTAACGGGATATTTTTAGAAGATATTATATACACAGCATGTACCTCATATTCTGAGAACGTTCTAAATATAAAAACACATTTATATTAATTTTTCCCTAATGCCGCATTTAGCTGATCTGATAATTTGCTAGAAAAAGCACTAATGTTGTATATCGAGTCAGTGGTGTAGCTGTCTAACGCGCTTATATTCATTTATAGGCAAGTTTGTGGATTTTTAATTAAATTGCATGGTTCGTTATAGGATTTGATGTGTGTCGTATTAACAGAAATGTCATTTCTGTTGATATGACATTCAGATTATAAATCGAATTGCGTTACCGTCTCGATGATGATGGCTCAAGTTTTACGGATTTTCCTCACCTGTAAATCAAATGGCGCCATCAATCATTTTTAAGTCGCCCCGAAGCGCCACGGCAAATAATAATAACCGCTTCCCTTCCCCTATACAAGTCGCTCAGTCGGCTTCAGGGGTTGAAATTCACTCGTAAGGGGATGAATTAGGAAGAGTATTATTATTTAGGTTAAAAAACAGAATTAACCTTATTATGAGTAAAATTTAGGTCGTAAACAAAGATTTATCATTGGTTCTACTGATAATGCTCTTGATTTTTATTAGTTTTCCAAAGTCATGTAGTCAAGTAAGTAAAGAAAAAAGAACTAGAAGAAGAATGACATAACCAAATATCAAACAATTGTTTGATTTTTATCATCACATACTTTGATTTTATCATGCTCGAACAAAGCATCGTGTCGCTATTTTGTTATAAACAGGGGTTAGTACAAAACTTCAAACTTCAAAAACTTAAAATGGCTGATGCAGTTGAAAGTACATTGATTTTGATTCATCTATAGTCTAGAGAAAAAAGGAGTGCATTAATTTAATTTGCAAAACGTAGTACAGGTTTAAGAGGTAGACATTTAATTGATACCTCATCCTTTAATTTTAAGGTGAAGGGGGAGAAAAAGTCCTTTATATCTCACAAGGAAAGTCAATGTTTAATTATTAAACAAAACATTGAGTGCGACCAGTTTCGAAGTGTCATCACTTCATCTTCAGGCTCGCCTAGTGGAAAGGAGAATATGTGGTGTAAGGTGTGTTAACTTGGAGCAAACGATATATAAAATAGTAAAAAAGAGAAAACTCACCATACTCTCCATCCACTAGGGAATACTACAAAACAAGTTTCATCAAATGTGGGGTGAAATAAATTGTAAAATGAACAAAGTTTACAAGTAATAAAAAGTTAAAAATATTTGAAAAAAACAAATATTAGTCAATTGAAATAGTAAAAATTTAAAATATTCAAGACCATACAAAACAAATCACATACATTAAACAGATTAAAAGATACGGCTTATTTTAAACAACCTTGTTGTTTTTTCAAAAAACTAACATTTTTGAAAGGAGACCTGTCAAGTTAAGGCCTCTACAGGTGGTGGCAAGTATTAACAAAAAAATTCTTGGGTAAACCTATGACAGGGTATAGGTAATAAGATGTAAACCATGAGTGAAGAAATATTTATTATTTATTATATAAGATTTGGGCCATGAACCAATCACCAAGTGTATGTGATGTTGTAGGAAGAAGAAAGAAGAAGAAATGACTGGGTTAACTGTTGTGAAGCAACTGAAGAATAAAAGAAGAAAAGAAGAAAATGACGGATGTGAATATCACACAATCTAACCTAATCTTTAAACATGCTCGTTGGTTTCTTGTGGGAAAAAAATTACTTACTGAAATGTATCCCTTGCAAGAAAATATGTGAATAGAAATAAAGGGGGAGGTTAAAAAGGAAGTTAGAACGATAAATTTAGATTAGTGTTGAGAAAACAGGAGGAGTTTCTGACATTATCTGGGCATTTAAGCAACCAACCAACTATGTAGGATTTCGAAACCTTTAGTTGAATCGAAGTCGTGATTTGAGTCCAGTAGGTGGTTGAGAGAGATGAAAGTCTGATGATGCCAAGCCTAGGCTGCAAGGCGGATGATCCAGTACTTCCCAGTGAAAATTGTCCAGTTACGCTTTTGTTATTGCTGCAACGTCAGGCAG